CCTATCCTGCCTGGACCTGCCTTAGGGTGCTTCTTATATTCTCACAGTACATCCATGCTGCAGCATGGGTCCCAAGTTCCTTCCTTTATATTCCCTTACATGGATACACTCTTGGTGTTCAGTCATTTGTGCAGAGGAGACTTGTGTGAGTAGTGCTGTTGGGAACATGACTGAAAAATAGCCATGTGCATCCAGATTTAAATGGTTTGCAGACTTGCTCAGAAAAGGAATCATTGGAGCATAGAATTCTGTGTTTATGCTTTGAAGCCCCAGCGGACTGTTCCCAAGAGAGGCTCCAGAATTTCTCATTTCTTCTCACAGTGACCAAGGCTTCCATTTTTTCACTGTGCTAACGCGCTTTTTATTTCCCAGGCTTTGATAGTGGTTTAGATATGGCTATGATTGATGTGCGTGTGGTGTGGAAGAGCATCAGTGGTCATCATTTTGGGCGTGTTTTCTCCTGTTTCCTGGTCATCTCTATACCCCCCTTAGAGAAATGTCTCACTGAGCCCTTTCTGATCCCTAAATCTGACGAGTTTGTTTTGCTTACTGACTTGTGAGAGGTGTTTCTGTGTCTCTGTATCAGGCACACTTTATAAACATTTTCTCCAATTCTCTGGGTTCTTCTTCAGTATCTTCATGGGTTTATTGACTCACAGAAGCGTTTACATTTGCCACAGTCCATTTTATTTTTGCTGTGCTCCCTGAGTTAGTGGCTGCTTTTGTAATTAAAATCCTTTGGACTCCGGGTCAATCGAATGAGATAGTGCCACTCTATAGATATCCTGTGCTTACAATTTGCACTATGTTTTATTGTAGATGCTTGCATTCTTTTTCACTTTTGAAATTGTGCATTAAAATTAGCTCTGAATTGTTACTACCAACTTAAATCTGGTGAGAATTTCAAAACATTTCAAAAGGGAGAGCTTTTATTTCAAAATTTAGACACATATTCTTAGGGGCACTGTCAGGGGTGATTTCAAATGAACAGAGCAGCACAGAAGATGTCTATGATAAATCATTCATCGGGAACACTGAATCCTTCATTCCCAGCCCTGAATACTCAACAGGTGTGTTTTCTCTCCACAGACTGAAGCTTGCAAGAATCCTAAATGAAACTGAATCCAGAGTGAAGGTCAGTAACTCAAAGAACAGCCACTTGGCTTTCCCTGGCATTCTCCATCGTGTTTTTATCTGCATCCATAGCCTTTCCTGGACATTGTGAAAATGGTGTGATTTCTGATCCTTTCTTACAGTGACAAGCAAGATTTGGATTTACAAGCATTCATAGTTAGAAAATGGTATCCTCAACCTGGGCTTGTGATTCCTTCCCATTACAAAGACAATATGTTTTCATAATAGTAACACACACAAAAAAGAAAAGGAAATCAAACAAAAAATCAAGCTGCTTCTTCTGTTCTACATGCACAACTAAGTTTAGACGTGCATATAAGAGAAATAGCTGTAATTATATCCATCCATAATACATGGATTTGCACACATATATATATTCATGAACTAACATTCAGTTCACGAATATATGAACTGGTACACTGTAGATTGCTCTTCTGTGTGCACTCATGTTGGGGCTTAGTCCAACCTTGAAAGTATTCAAATGGGTGTAGGCAGATGCAGGGTTGAAAAGCCGGTCACTGGTAGGAAATTATTTGCCACCTAGACTGAGAACTTAGCTAAACATATTTTTATAGACATTTCCTTCTTTGGTCTTATCTTCAACTCTTTTTTTGTTTGTTTCATTTTGATGCTGAGCACAACACCTAGGAGCTCATCTCTAAGGTGAGGGCTCTACCACTCAGTTGTATGCCCAACCCTAAATTCATAAATATTGTGCAGTGAGAATAGATTCGCAAAGAAAATACACTTAGGAGCAAGGAATGGATGTCTAATCAATCTCAGAATGATGAAGAAAGTCTGCTGAAAA